GCGTCGTTTCTAGTGTATAAGTTACTTATTATGTATGTAGCTAGCATAGTTGAGCATTCAGACTAACCCAAGTTTAAGAAATACATTAACCGGCCCGATTCGACTTTGTTTTATCCGATCTATGAAGCAGCTAAGGAGAGGACAACCGGTGCTTAGTGAATCCGGCTTATCATCCACGTGGTGCGAGAGGGCAATGACTAACGTAAGGGATGACATGCCGGGGAGAACTATCTTTAGCCTAGGAAAGATCAGCAAAGAAACAAGTGCATTCAGTGATGCAGATCTCATCGCATGTACAAACATATACAAAAAAATTCAAGTTCAAAAGGTACATGGCTGGGTTAAGAAATGTAATCAAGGGCGTGTGGAGGTTCTAAAGCATCGCAGCCCGCATCAGCGCATAACATATGACCATGTGCGGGCGAAAAACGAGGGTAACTAGTTCAAGGTAAATGGCCGCGAACTCATGCGAGCGCTTCGCCAGAATTTCCACTATCAACCCCACGATTCTAGAAATAACCTAGATTCAGCGATTCCCAAACGTCCATCTGTCTATCGCTCGCTTGACAAGCTGTTGAGCTGACAGGACGAAAGTAAAGACTGACGAAGACTAGAAAAAGAAACTGGGGAGGGCTTCTTATGGCTAAGTTCCAAAAAATGTCTGAGGACTAGTGAGTAAAAATTTGGTAGGAAAATATCAATGCGAGAAGCTGCATGCAGCGATTAGAATAAAATTTCATGACAGAAAGATTTGAAAAGAAAGAACCCCCTCCAGATTAAACAGTTAGCATTTGTTAACACGCAATGGATGTTGACAGCAAAGGCCATGAAAGCCCACAACAATATCCACGAAAATTTTGGTTGCACTGTAATACAAGTAACTCCTCCAGGACGATTTCACAGCATATTGCACTAATTACTTGGGGGATATTTAAGCATTACAAGGGTCCATATTTGAGTGCTTGCATTCAAGTTGCATATCGCATCATTTTGTCCGCTAGAGTCATCTCGGATCATTGAGAACGATGTTTCGAGTTGATACTCTTTATTTGCTACAGCATAAATATGAAAAGATGTTCTTTCGCTGGAGTATGTTAGATTTAGATACTGCATAGGGATGCAATATACCATGAAATCTGGCCTTGACGTAGTTTTGCGTTATCTGATATACTTTAATGTCTATGTGATACAACGTGAGAGCATACGAATAGCTCGGTTCCAATTTACATGCTGCCCAAGTTATGAACCGCAAGACGTCCTACTCAACATCAGCTTGAGGTCTTACGTAATCTTAGTTACGTCCGTGATGGTAAGGACATAATCGGAAGGGGTCAACATTTTTGTGAGAGAAGACTAATTCTGTTGCGAGATATAATGTAAGATTTGCCATCGCAAGAGCAACGAAAGATCATGTGTTAGTAATCCGTATTTCCTAATGTCACCAGGCAAGTGCCTCGCAGATTTTCTTTTCAGTTTCATGCGAGGCTTATAGCGGAGAGCAAGATGTAATATGCTGCAACAGAACAAACTATGATCAACCCTTTTCAGCACTAATACGAACAGATCTCCAATACAGCGAAAGCATTTACTTATTGAGGGAAGAGGATAGAGAAGGCAACTGTTCTCTCACATAAACTATGAGGTTCCTAATTCGATTAGCGTTCTGACAATCTCTTCTCCCTTACCTCAAGAAGATAGAGTTTATATGAGTACTCCGTTAACTCAAAA